TTACATGTAGACACTGTCAATCGCAGCGACTCACCCAGGACTAAAGAGCTGGACCACGCTAAAAAAAGTCCATGCCTCCTGTCGTGTAACTGAATGCAAAGAAGAACAAATGCCACTTGAGTGAATCAGGCCTCAGTGCTCATGAATTTTTCTCACCTTAGAGAGCATTTCAGAAGTGTCACGTTTTTTAATGACGATCTTAGGTCAAATGCATGCTTAATTGTATCATGCCTTTTCTCCAAAAAAGCTCAGTACAAGTTTCTTCAATAACTATAATACCCAGCATTTCTAATGCACTTCAAAGTACTTGATGTGCTTCCCACATTCTCTCAATAATCTCTCTAAAGTGGGCATAATACCTGGAATAAGCTTCATATTTACAGTAGAGAGATAACAGTAATAGTCTTTAACCTTTTCAGAGTCAGGACACAACTAGAACCCAAACATGCACTTGGGAAGCCTAACCTTTGTCAGATATTTGAATGGGAGTAGCGTTGCTCTTGAGACTCAGTAGCTGGTCTTGAACCACGAAGGGCTAAGAGGTGTTGGCTTGCCAGAGACCACCAAGTTCATGGCAGAGAATTTTTGAACTAGTGAATTCTTTGTTTACAGTTCTGTGGGAATATAAGGATCTATCTATTTGGGTTGTTTCTAATCTCCCCAATGTTAAATTCAGTTCTCCACATTTCTGCAATTGCAATTTTTTAAAAAAATTCTCCTGAAATTTCCCCAACATCCTAGTGTGAATGTCTGATATTTCTGCATGCAATTTTGACATTTTTGGAAACAATGTAATGCAGTTTGTATGTTATTTTTACTGCTGTGTTATTTTTTATGCACACTGACCCCCAATGTATGTATTTTTGTAAACAAGCTTTGCAAAATTCAGTTAAGTGTTAATTTAAAAGAATGGCTGTGCTTTGATTCTCCTATTGCTTCAGAAAGTGTAGATTTGGTCGATTCACCTTTAAATGCAAACTGAACTGAATTTCTGCCCCATCCCTGCAGCTCAGCCTCTTCAATTGTACTTTAGGGTAGTGATGGCCAAACTTGGCCAATTCCCATCATCCCTGACCACTGGTCCTGTTAGCTAGGGATGAGGGGAGTTGTAGTCCCAAAACAGCTGGAGGGCCAAGTTTGGCCATCACTGCTCTAGGGACTAGTAGGGCTGGCTCCAGACATTTTCCAGCCTAAGGCAAAGGATAAGACAAGTCCCTCTTACCTTAAACAGTCAGGTAGCATTGTGGCCTGGCCATAGGCTTTGTCAGCCTGGGTAGGACTGCAGGCCTGACTACGGATGGACCAGTGACAGGCAGGCCTAGGTCCAGGGATTCCCCAGGGGGTGGGTCCAACTAGCCAAGGGTCGTTGCTTGGGTCCACCTCCTGGGGAATAAATTGAGGCTGGCCCAGCACACCTCCGAAGCCTTTCTGTCAGATGTCCTACCCTTCCCATCATATGCTCTTCTTTCATGCTAGACATTGCTATGGACATTGTCCTGATCCCCGGGCCTACCTGGCGGCAAGGCAGTATTTCAAGTCCCAAGTTCAACAGTCGGGATGCACGGTCTGGGGTCAATCTATATGTCCGAAGTCCAACCAGAAGCAACCATCCCATAGTGGTCCTGGAGCATCCAAGCCAAGATCCATCAACATGGACAGCTGAGCAGACACAGCCCCTTAGCTCTGCTGCCCTTTGCTGCTTTGTGCAGCACCTGGGCTTAATGAGGCAGGTGACCCTCACCTGTCCTGAGCCTACTCCAGCTGAGAAATCACTCTCCTCCCAGAAATAGCGAGCCCCACCTGGCCAACTAGGGAGCTGGGCTGTAGGCTCTTGTCTGCCTCAGCCACCTAGAGCAGGCATAGGCAAACTCGGCCCTCCAGATGTTTTGTGACTACAACTCCCATCATCCTTGACCACTGGTCGTTATCTAGGGATGGGAGTTGTAGTCCCAAAACATCTGGAGGGCAGAGTTTGCCTATGCCTGACCTAGAGCATATCTCCCACTGCTCCCTACATCTCAGAGCCCACTGTGTTCATGGAGGCAGGGCCCCTTCTGACTCTGACTCCTTCAGTTCTGGGTCCTCTCACCATCCCCATCACCCTGCAAGTACTTCATCCCAGCTGGTGTGTCCCAGGCCCGGCTACACCCCTTGCCTGAATCCTCTTCCTCCTCCCATCATCATGTCAGACCAAAGGAACTTTTCCACTTGAAAACCAGAGCCAATTTGCCATCTCCCCCCTAAGCAAAAGAAATCTAAACATTGAAAAGTATTATTAACCCACAGCTTTCCTTACTATTTTTGAGGATGCCAATAAACAACTTTATAAAAGGTTCGCTGCCTGTTTTCTTGTCACTGCACGATTGGCAATAGCACAAACATGGCAGAAGCTACAAGGATTTACTCTGGAATTTTGGTATAAAAATATATGATGCAAGCAATAGCAGAAAAAGGTCACCCATAATATTGTTTCCCATGGAAAACAAAAACCAGAGACATTTCTCACAATATGTGGTCCCTTTATTTTCTACACCAAAGATCCAAGACAGGCAGATAATCTTCCTCAAGCTACATCAGACTTTTAGACATGGCAAATAGACTATTAAAACATGTATGAGACTAAAGTTATTTATCAGATATGACTCTCTTTGATGGACGTTTGAGAGCACTGAATGTATCTGACTTTGGAAGCTGATTGAAGATTGTAAAGACATTTATTGTGAATTCATCACGCTGTAGAAAGAGGAGGATGCGGCAGGGAGATGTCACAATTTTTACTGGGGCATTTTATAATATTACAATTATCTTTAATAAAATCTTTTTAAAATAAGGGTAAATGAAATGGGAAAGAGCTGACACAGCATAAGCTTTATTCTTTTCCTGCCACATTTATTCAATTCTTTGTAGCAAGCTTTTGGTGTACGTAATGGGGAAAATGAATCCCAATGTTTTGTCAGAAATAAAAATGTAACTATTGGAAGTACACGGGAAGCCGTTATGCATTGCCAATACCTGCACTAGTTTTCACAATGCCATTGAGACTTATTGCAAAACCGCTAGTACAAAATGGTCACTGGGCTAGTAACAGAGACCAGCCAAATGGATTACATGTTGCCAGTCTTTGAACAACTGCACTGGGCGTTGGTCTGTTTCAAAAGTTCAACTTGCTAGTGCTTACCTTTGAAGCCCTGAATAGCTCTTGGAGCCAAAGATCAGGAGGACCACCTCTGCCCACAGGAATCTGAACCCCCACCTTTGGAATGACCTTTCCACGAAAGCCCATGTTAATCTCTATGCTGCTTTTCTATCTTCGCTTTACGGTTTCTACCATTTTTAATTTCTGACACGTTTGTGTGTGTGATATTTACGGTGTTTTCCTTTAATGTTTTCATGTATTTTCATTGAAAGCTGGGAATTTTTCTTAGTGGGAATGGCACTATGCGAGTATTTTAATTACTTTTTTAATTTATTAAGTATAGGCAGTGGGACGCGGGTTGGCGCTGTGGGGTTAAACCACAGAGTCTAGGAGTTGCCGATCAGAAGGTTGGTGGTTTGAATCCCCGCAACGGGGTAAGCTCCCGTTGCTGTCCCTGCTCCTGCCAACCTAGCAGTTTGAAAGCACATCAAAGTGCAAGTAGATAAATAGGTACCGCTCCGGCGGGAAGGTAAACGGCGTTTCCGTGCGCTGCTCTGGTTTCGCCAGAAGCAGCTTAGTCATGCTGGCCAGATGACCCGGAAGCTGTACGCAGGCTCCCTCGGCCAATAAAGCGAGATGAGCGCTGCAACCCCAGAGTCGGCCACGACTGGACCTAATGGTCAGGGGTCCCTTTACCTTTAAGTATAGGCAGAGAGGGAAGAATGAAATCATGAATCCTTTCAAAAGCTGCATTTCCACATGCGTTACTAAAATAAAATGGGTGGAAACTCAACTTTGCGCTATGACAAATGCTCCAACTGCACAAGCGCTATAGCCTGCCAGATCTCCCCTCTCCTTCCCTCATGTGCTGTACTATGGGTTCTCCATCCCACCAGAGGCAAAGGTCAGGAGAGCATGCGGGCAGGGCAAACAGAAGTCTTTGTGCAGGGCTTCCGCTGACAGGTAAATCTCGCCCAATTACTTCACAGCGAAAAGGTCCATCCATCTTAAGTTTATTTTAAGTGAGCATCATAGAACACAAAAATCAGTATCTGAGTGTTCGTCTACATTGGAACTTGGATGGTAAAGAACTCCCTATGAAGTGGATTCCAATTTTCTCTTGTCACAGAGTAAATAGGATGCATATTGAAAAGGAAATAAAAAAACACATATAGATGATATTGTGTTTCACTGTTCCTGCGCTATTAACCAGACCCACCCCCACCCCCCGAGATAAGCTGTAACTGGGAAAGAGGCTCTGGATCAAAAACGATGAATACCAATCCTTTAAAAGTGTCCTTTGATAAGGGAAGTGTGCTACCTAATACACTCTAAGGAATCCAAATATAGATCTATATGGCACACAAAAGACATAAATTTGAAATGAGCAGACTACTTCATTAATATTTCACCTGTCTCATGCTATTAAATACCATCTTAAAAGAAAAAACTGTTAACTGTATTAGATTTTGTATAAATAATTCTTGAGGTTCCCCCCCTTCAATTTAAACAACACTGTAAACATTTATTTCTTCCTAGAAAAAGAACACTATGTATCCCTTCCAGTAACTCCTGTGCAATCTTAGATTTAAACAATTTAGAAATTTATTGAATTTTCAAAAACAAAAGGTACAAAAAATCAACCTGGAGAAAACAACCCAAACATGCTGCTGTTTATAAATAAATTCAGAAACAGTTGCATTATTATTATTATTTCCTGCAAATCCAAACACACATTTCTAGAATTGAAAGTACTGTTGGCACACATCTTTTGACGTAATCACTGTGAATCGCTTATCTTTGAAGAAGTCACCAAGTCACTATGTATGGAGAGCAATGGAAGAAAAAAGGATAGCAATACTTATTCTGCATTCATATTTTAATTCATTGAGCATTTAGGAAATGTATGAGTAAGTGATGAATGAAAAAAGGAGAGAGTAAGTCAAAGCATTTTCTTACAGGGCATCTAAGTCTAGGAAGAGAAAGAAAAGAAGACATGCTTGAAAATAGTTTTTAGAAAACATCCATCTTAAATCTCAAAAGTTTATTTTACCTGTGTTTAAATCTTAAATTAGAAATGGACCACTTAAAGAAAGGATCATTTCAATATCAAGGACTGATTCTTCTTGACGGATGCAGTATTTATTATTGTATAGAAATATTGCATCACCTATTTACTTGCAGAGGTACAGGGAAAAGAAGAGGGGAGGAGTCCTGTCTCAAAACACTTGATCACTTCAATGATGGGTTTCTAGTTCAAGAATTGTCCATTCCCCTTGAGGGGAAGAACAATCTTCAGAGGAAAAACTTGCCACTGTGATGCTTGCTGAAGAATCATCCAGTGGAGATATCAGTTCAGTCCACCTACTGAAAGTGTCAATCTGTGCTTTACCCTGAGGTTGTGAACTGTCTCGTGCCAGAAAAAGTGTCTGGTTGATGAGATATTGTGCTAAGTTAAGGTCTTCAGGAACAGAGTTTTTGATGTCTAAGTTTGACTCCTGGTCAGATAACAGTTGCCTGAGAAGAGTCCAGTCCTGTTCTGCAAACGGCTGATCTTCAAAATCCACATCTAGAATGTTCAGTTCCGACTCCATCCTCTGCTCAAAAGCTTCTCCAACATCCATCTCGTAAATTGGAGAAAGGGTTTTTGGAGGCCGATGCTCATACATGCAGGTTTGTGTCAATCTGTCACAATCATCTATGTCTCCTGAAATAATTCACAATACTACACATTGTAAAAATTGCACAGGCTTTCCCCTTTTGCAGGGCTTTTGTACAGCATACTTCACTCAATGCAGCAGGACCAATCCAACCAGATTAAAGAGGTAAGGAAAAATGTAACTTGTATACAAAGTCCACAAATATTTGAGCCATTTTTTAAAATGCATTTAAAAAAGTAAATGAAACGAAGTACGGCTTATAAATAAAGCAGCAATCACCACTGGCAATTGACAATAAACCTCCATAATTGGAAAAAATTTCTGATACAGAAAATGACAAGTCATGTAAACCAACATTTAATGCACATGGATTTCTAAAACCACTAAAATAATAACTTAAAATAGGAAGGAGCAGAGCGAGGGAGGGGAAAACGAAAGGGAGGACATGATCACCAAACAGTGACTTAAGCCAAGTCAACCTCAAAGGGGCGAAAACAAATGGTTTATTCACAGGCTTAATATTTAAGTATTGCACATGCAAAGGGCAGCTGCAAGCAAGGACAAGCAAACAAAAAGAAGTACAGCTTGAGAAGTCATCCATTCGTATGGTTCTTCAGAACACAAATCATCAGTTTATAACTCTTAAATACACAGAAGTTTGAAAGATTCGGGTTCTCTGTGTTGTACTTTGGGGGTACCGAGTTGAATCCCTGTTTTTAAGGAAGACACAAAACTAGACAAGAAGTTACCTAACCGTGTGAAGCAAGCATAAGTTTAAATGTATTAACTGCTGTTGTTTTTTAAAGCTGACCTTTCTCTTTTTAAAAAGAAATAATTTTTTCACTGGCAAAACTTAGAACTACAAGAATTCTGAAAAAGTATCTTAAGAGTATAGGCCAGCTTCTGCTGAAGCCAATGGCAAGGGCCCCACTGAATCCAACAGCAGCTTAAGAGGAGACCCTAGCTCTGTGCAAAACAGAAACATAATGAATATAGCTCTTAAAAGGCAAATACGCAGAGCACTTTTAATTGAGAGTATTAATGCACTTATTGCACATCCCACTTTGATATAGATATATATAGATATAGATATATATTATGTGAATCATATAGGCTGCTGAACCAATGGATAGCCAAGTTTCCATTAAAAGATGATATTGCCTATGTTCTATTGGGTCAAAAATGAACTCAAGAGCAGGGAACAGCATCCCACTCTCCGCTTTGCCCATGATAAATATTCCCAGCTGCCCACTGGACAGCGTCATACATATTCTATTATGGTCGAGAATATGGTATGCAACTTGAGATTTTGTTTGAAACATAAGCATTTAATTCTGTTAACAGTTTGGATAAAATTTCTAAAGGTATTTGCTAGAGTTAGTGTCTCAAACCCAACTATAAATCTAATATTCCACTAATACGTAATATCTTGAGGAACTTAATGCTTTTATTTCTGTACGTTACCTGCGGATAAAGCAGAGTTAGCGTATTCAGTAGATGCTGAATCAATCTCTTTCACGTGGCCTTCCTGAATCAGTATATGACTCCTATTTGGGTCTACAGGTTTTGCAGAATTGTTCTTTTGTAACTCAGCATTATCTCTTTGATGAAGATCCAGGTGACATGGTCTTCCTTGAGATTTTGTGTCGTTGTCTGAGACTTTATTACACTGGAATTCATTGTTCTCTTCACTCTTGGCATTTTCCTTAACTTCTGCAGGAGACGGACTATGTCTCACAATCAAATCTTTCTCAGCAGGCTTCTGTTCCATAACTGGAGTACTCTTCTCCTTGGGTTTTTGCTCATTGCCACAAGGGTCTACAGAAGCATTCTCACTTTTCTCTAACCTTTCCTTATCATTCTCCTTACACTCCAGGAATCCGTCTTCAATCTCCAAGGAGTATCTTGAATAAAATGTCTTGCCATGACCCTCATGGGAAGTGCCATCAAACACATCAGAAGGCGTTGCAGCATCCAGAGAACGTTGGAGGGAAGTGTGGACCTCTCCACCATCATCGTCAGATCCCAATTCTTCACATTCATCCACTGAAAGCAATACTGAACGCTTAAAGTTTTTGGTGGCAGGGAATTCTTGACTTTCAGTATCATTTTCTGCTGCATCTTCAAATGCAAGATTCACAATTCCATGGAACTGCTGAACAGGGATTTCTGGTGGAGGCAGGTTTTCTACGACATTTTCAGTTTCAGACTTTTCATCTTCTGTTTCATCAGCCGAAGAGGAGACCTGATCAGCTTCTTGAGGAAACTGTGCAGCGGCAAAATTAGCATTATTCCCTCTGGAACCACCCCTTTTCTCATCACCTTGGTGCAGCCACGCTTCAGGCCTTTTTAGGGATCTCATCATCACTTGTTGAAATAACACGGAAGAGATCAGAGTTTTCCTTTTTCATTTTCACTTCTATCCTCAGACTTGTGTCATAGATTTTGAGTTCTTCGGGTGTACTTGTATCACTGCTGCTTCTGCCAAGGAAATCATGGCATATCATAGTGCTGCACTTTGAAATCCCTCTTTCATTTGACCTTCGTCATCCTGAGATCCTCCTGCATCATAGTCTTCCGATCTTGGCTTTATATCGTCGGATGATGTCGTTGCACTGCCACTGTCCGATTCAGGGCTTTCTTTTGGATCAAGTGCACTGGAACTCAGA